AATGAACCAGCAGAAGATGGTATGCACTCTAAAATTCATTGCCCATCTCCATGTTATTTAGGAAAGCGTGTCGCTCACTGTGGCGATAAGCCATTACAATCCACAGAGCCTTTTTGACTCTTCTGTGCCCTTACTCACAAGTCAGAGTTCATGCTAGTTAAAATTTACCACTTGGCAAGCAGAGATTAGAGGTTTATCAAACCTCAGGCTTTCATTGTTTCAGTCACCATGATCACAGGTATTAAAATAGACAACACAAACCAAAACTAATGCAGCTGCATGACTGTAAGGTGATACATCTTAGACATGCTAAACTAATAGTTCTACCCGTAAAGCTTTGTCTGTCTCCTGTATATGGAAAGCTGAAGTATGGAAAGTCTGGATCACATCTAGAATTCAAATGGAAAAGCTGTGACAGATCAAAGCTGTGAACCTCTGTTTCAGTTCAGCTCTTTTCAGTGGGATCATCCATCCTGAGAGGTCATTAACCTGTTCACTCCTGAAGTAGGACTTACCTGACAAATATTAATTCATATATTTCTTTATAAATTAGACACTGCAAGCATTTCAGATGAATACAGACTAAATTTACTCTCTTCATTTAAGAGGGAGCCACAGTAACAATTTTAGCCATACCTGTTCACACTGTTAGTGTTTGAAATTAGATGAGGTTAATGCCTACACTGTTTGAGTGCAGCCTAAAAATCCAATAATAAAATAGCTTTGGCACATCTGAAGGTTAGAAGCTTCAAGTGATAATAAAGAAACAACTGATCCTAGTACCAGATTATGTGCCATGCAAATGCAAGGTCCCATCTACCTCACCTGAGAAGAAATTAATCACATTGAAGTCAGCATCAGCTAGAAATGTTCTGCACTATTCTGTTTAGAGTATTTCACAAACTAGTCATGAGAAAGTGAGCAAAAAGGTAGGGGCATGTATTTGCTTTGGCTTGGGATTACAGTATTTACAGGTCTAATTCTCATGTTATGGTAACATAAATAATTTTAAATATAGATGAAATTTTTCTGCTGTAGCAAAACATCTTGCAATGTGTTTTGAATTGCTGTAGTAGGGCTCAATCATTATGCTTTAGACAAGAACACCTGCACACAATTAATCTAAATAATTGTAGTTAATTTTAGCAGCTTCATGTAAATAGTTTACTTTTCCTCCGAGTTCCTAGTTCTTATCTCTTCATGACCCTGTTACATAAAACTTCATATACCACAAAATGAAGCAGATAATTTTCTCTCAGGAAATCTCATTAGAGGAAACTAGGTATGTTCTGTCACAGCAGCCCTTTTGAAAAGAAAAACTGAAAAGAAGGTCTTTCTCTTTCTTTGGGATATACACCACATATTGATTAATTAGGTAAGCTTTGAAGCATAATAAAAAGTTATCCAAGTAATAATATTCTCTAGGAATTCCATATCTGCACTGCAACCTTTAACTGAAGGTCAGTGCCCTGGAGAATTCCTCTTACAGTATTATCTCCAGCTATTAAAATTAATATAATTCCACTTTAGCTAAAAAAATAAATGTAGTAAAGTAAAAAGCACATCCTATACTCAAGTAACACTCACTTAAATGTAGGAGGCAATTTTAAATCAATATTTTCAGACTAAAGTCATAAAGCACTACATATAAATAGTTGTACAGAATATAAATCAAAAGACTGCTTCCAAAATAAAATTTTATGCTGAAAGGACAAAAATATATATCAAATTCTACATGCAGTATCTGAAGCAAAAGTCTCTCTCTTGTACTAAGGCCTTAGCTCATTCTAAAGTAACAGGATTTTGCCTCTAGTAGAACTGAGTTTTAAAGAATCACACAGGGACCTGAAGCTTCCTCCATCACTCACAGGGGAATGATCAGCCCATTTTCTGTTACAAATATTTCTTTCCAAGAGGGCAGGCTGTGTTACAACACTGATGATAGGATTTGTGTGCTGTGCTGTAATACAGCTCACTCTCTCTTTCTGCAAAATAGCAGTTTCTCATTACCCTTCAAGTGCCAGGCTGCTCACACAGGATTAAGGAGTGCTGGCACAGAGTTCCCATCCTGCTCATGCATTTGTGCTGCCTCTGGCTCTGCTGGAAGTGCCAAATGCTTGAGTAGGTGTGAGCTGCACACCACGGTTCTCTCCCATCAGCATGCTGTGAGCTCTGACTCAGAGCAGGGAGCATCATCTGGATACAAACCAGAGCTGCTTGGTACACCTGGCCACCATCCTGAGGTCCATCATGTGGGTTCTCTGCTCGTTTTCTCTACCTCTGTCAGGCTCAGGACTGAAGGCACTTGAGACGGTGGTTCACATTCAGAGTCAGGTGTTTATTGTTATCAGTGAAACAGCTTCCCAACCATGAGTTCTGCAGCCTTTCAAGGCTTAACAAGGCACAAAATTGCTAACTATCTCTTCTTACAAGGTCATTTAAGACTAAACTATCCAATTAAGAAATGACACCTAAGATGGTTTGCCTTTTCAACCCAATAACTGATCCCTTGAAGCCCACAATGAGGACTTTTCTGTCCAATTACAAAACATTACCCAAACCCATGCAGGAGAAAGAAGAAGAAGAAGGTGAAGAACAACCTGCCTCCACCCTAAAACCTCCATCTTGCTTCATATTTATTACTATGTTTTAAAACCCCAAACTCTAAGTTTTCCACTCTCTGATATTACACACTTCCAACCAACTATACACCCATAATCCCAGTGCTATTAATAAATTTTGGAAGCCTTCTCCACAGCCTCAGGTCAAATGCAGTGCTCTCTTGTGGGTCTGTGCCTTTCAGCACAGAAAGTTTAAAATTCTCAGCATCCAGGGTTCCATCCAACACATCACTGCTCACTGCCCACACTAGCATTGCTCTAAGGAACAGATTTTTCATAGTCTAAATGGCTGTACAAAGAAGTTATTTTTGTGATCACAACAATGAACACCTTCATATGATAACAGTGTACCCAGATAACAAGCCTCATTTCATCATCTACTAATGCACTTGATAGATGAAAATCTTACCCTATATTCCTGTTTATGTGATATGGTATTTTTTAATTTATTCGTTTACTTTTTTATCCTGACTTTTTGAGACTTGAAGTGTCACTTAATAAGATATTCACTGCTATCACAGGGATGAACATTTCAAGAACCACAAAAAGTAAATCCTTGCATTCTGGTGAATTCCGTCTTGAGATGATAACAAAATACATTCATCCAAGTAATTTAGAAAATACATATATTCCATAAACCTTCACATCAGGCAACCTAAAAGTTAAGTCATGTATTTAAGAGCTGTCCAAGCATTTAACCACATACACACTTGGGGCCATGATGACTTTCCTGAAAACCTTGTTCGAGTCCTTGACCACATCTCCCTTATATTCAATCTGAACTTTCCCTGATGCTGCTTTAAGACATTTTAATGCACATGGAACATTTGCTAATGGGAATCTGTGGCACAATAGGTCCCTTAATGTTTTTTTTTTAAGTGAAAAACTGTTGACTAACAAAAATAGGGATCACTCAAGCCAATTTAACATTGTCTGGAAGGCAAAAGTCATGCCAACTGAATTTAGAAATTATGAGTATGTTTTTAATTATGAGGATCATTGACATAGCCACTAGGAAAAATTATGTATTCCTTGCCACTTGTAGGAGGACTCATGTGACAGAGTGTAGAAGCTCACAGCATAGACATCCACATTTAGGTTAAGCACATAAATCTCCCTTACAGATAACTAAAAAAGCACACATTTTTAGGGAGTGATTCATCTTGTCCTAGAGTAGACAGCTAAACTAGGACAAACTAAAGTAGACTTCTCCAAAAGTCCTTATTGCAGCAGTTTACAGGGTAAAGGTAGCCACATGAGAGGAACCCTAATCTTAATAAACTTTAAAACAAATCAGAATATCCTTCTAGGAAACATAAGCTTTATTTTTAAGCACAGCTTCCAGATAAGGTACAAAGGCAGCAACATTCTACAATATCACCATCCCTTCTGCCCTGAAATCTATTACACCTAAAACTGAAAACAGAACAGTTAAGAAATTATTATTAACTTCTCAGTACCTCTACTTTCAGTTTAAGTATGATGAACTTTTTTCTTCTGAATTCTAATGGAGGTTTATTATCACTTTTTGAAAATATTTGGTTATTCCCAGCATTTTATTCCATACATATTTCCTCTACAATGTCTTTTTGTTTTTCTTTAACAGGTTTTGTTATGCAGACAGTGAAAATAAGAGGATTTTTCTGAAAAATAATGTGTGTTAATGAAAACAGTCACAAAAAGTGAGTCTCAGAGTAAAACATACACCTTCAAAATTTCCCTACAATTGAAGCAATGACTCAAAAGAAAGTGAAAATATGAAGAGGCTATGGAAGACAGCTCTCCCAGCACATACCAGTGTAGTTAGCACACGTAACTGCCTTTAGTTATTGGAAAAGCAAATAAAATCAATCAAAAATATATATTTTAGTAGGATTAAATTCATACCTGCTCGAAATAGTTTTATATAAAAACTGAAAATGCTATGTCTTCTGGTATTTTCAGTCTTATTATAATGCTTATTTTGTGTTCAATGAATGTTCACATGAAGTTTTAATAGAATTTTCTTCAAGATGCACAGTCCAACATATTTTTTCAGAATGGTATTCTTTTGAATATGATGGTATAGGACAAAAAGAAGCAGGACAATAGAGGAGCTTGAAAATGTTACAAAAGGACATCTGTTTTTTCCTCCACTGTAACAAAGTAGGGAACGGAAATGGCATAGCATGGGAAGGAAGCACATTAACAGTGAGAAAGAGCAGGCAGTCCACAGATTCTTCTTCCATGCAGGTTTACATCAATTTGGAGAAGGGGCCTGTGGCCCATCAGAGCTGCAGACATAGTGATGCAAGTGTAAACTCTCTGGCACAGAACACAACGAAATGAATCAGATCTGTGTATCACTGACTAGCTGAGAGTAAAGAGCAAAGGGGTTACCTTAATTGGGCTTCCATCTGGAGTAAGAACCTCTTCTGAAAGCTCCATCATCTTCAATGCCATCAGGGCAATGGCTTTGGCATGACTAAGGCTTTTCTTATGGAGCCCTGCTGCAACGCAGTACGCATCACCTATTGTTTCCACCTGCAGCAATCAGACAAACCCGGAGTTACGGTGTGATAATGAGAGGGGAACCCTGCCATTAGGGCTGCAATCAAACAGTTGCTTAAAACATGTGAGCAAAACACCCATAAATAAGCAATGAGATAAAAGAGCATAATTACCTGAGTCTGCAAACAGGTACGGTGAAAACCCAACAAGCAACAGCACAGTGTTTTATCACCTAATAACCAAAGAAGATTGTCTAGAATAGTGTATGGCATCGGCTGAGATATGACAACATTCTCCCACAGCAGTAACACAGAAAATTGCATTTTCCTAAATGAGAAATCACTTGCTGCTTCATTTTATACTATCCTGGCTGAGTTTGCTGTTGGGTAAGAGCAGCGCCACATAATTATAACTCATAATTAGTATTTGATATGCTAGAAAATTATAACAGGAAGAGAATTATAAAAAGCAAAACATCACCATAAAAAACAGTGAAGACTATCTAACTTCTCATTAGAGGGTAGCTCTTCCTGGTATAATTTATGAAGAGATGCTATTGCTACAGACTTTTGCCTGCACATTTGTCCCTTATTTTCAAATAAGAATTGATGTCTCTCTCTACCATGCAGGTTGTTTTACTCTGCATTCCCTACCTTCAGCCACGAAGTTCAGCAGACAGAGCCCTCTGGTTTCTTCAGGCAGACCTCACTGCTCTCTTATCCTGATTTGCTTTAAAAAGAGCTGGCCCCCAGGAGGAAGTGGGAGCAAAATTAATTGCAGCAGCCCTCTGGCTCTGGATAAAGGCAGCCTGAGAAACACTGCAGCCCTCTAGGCCTGCAGCTTTATTTACAGCATTGTGTTTTGCAGTCTGTTTGCTCACACATCTGTAACATTCTCACACAAAATCCATTAACATGACCCCAAGCAGATCTCAAGGATTAGTTTAGTTTTTGTGACATAACTAATCTGGCTTTCATTCTGCACACAACACTACAGGAATGCCAGAAAATGCTTCAGCAAAGACTAGGGTAAGAAGAAAGCAAGGAGTGAGAAAGCATTTATTCGGAGAATAAATATAGCTGATTCATCTTTCTGCAGAGAATCTACTAAGTAGTAGGCCTGGATCTTCTCAGATTAGTCTCCTGTGATAAACTGGTAAACTGGAAACAGTATCTCAATATAAATAATACCTGAAATAGTAAGCATCACATGTAAATGTACTGCTGTCTGCCTGTTTGCCATATCTCAGGATGACTGTCCACAAGCAGCAGACACTACCAAAGCCCTGCAGTTTAGGAGTTTATTTTTCCAAAGATAAATGGGTGGGCAAGAATATATCCATGGCTGGTGAAAAATGTAGAAACTGGGCAAAAAGACAAACAAGCACAGTGAGAAGTATCAGAAGTTAAAAAGACAGTCTCAAAGAAATAGATGTTTAAAAATACTCTAATTTGGAAGGAAGCATTAGCAGAAATCTATTGTCATTCTTTAAAATCATGAATAAACATCAGTAGGAATAGACTCAAAGAGCTTACTACAGAAAGAGCTGAGTCTGTGATGTCAAATACAAAAATTAAATAAAAATTCTGCTCCTTGTTGAATGTCCCAATTTCAGAACTGCTTTTCCACTAAAGTTGGTTGCATAGATGTGGGATCATATACTGTTCCTGCAGTGTTCAGACAAAGCTACTTATTTTGTTAGCTTCTTCCCCCTTGGAAATTTCCATAGCTGTAATTTAACAGCTAAATTCCACACACTGAATGTACTGTTCTACCAGAAAAATGGGACTGAAGCTGCCTCATATTCATCCTTATACAAAAATAAAAACTGTAATAATGCCATTACTCTTTAAAGTGCTTGTCCCTATGGAGTTCATCCAACAGCAATACTGGAGAAGTAGGGGAAGGACTACGACAGCTTAGACTGACCTGGTAGTTCAAACTGGGTGTGATGAGTACTGACAGGTCTGTCTGATGATTTATCATTCTGTAACCCTGTTTTCAGTCACTTCTAGGGTCTTCCTCTACTAAGCATTTAAACTGAAATTTTCATTACGAGTACCTCCACGAAACTTTAACCTTGGTTCCATCCTTCTTCAAAACCAGATTTGACAAATCTTCCCAAAGTTCCAGGAGTTCTTGTAATTCAGATTGTCCATGGCATTTGCATTTGGTCCACTTGTATGGAGTCATAAAATTATTGAATGCTTTTGGTTGGGACACTTCAAGATTATCTAGTTTCAACTCCCCTGCCATGGACAGAGACACCTTCCACCAGACCAGGTTGCTCAGAGCCCCATCCAACCTGGCCTTGAGCACTTCCAGGGATGGGGCACCCACAGCTCCTCTGGGCAATCTGTTTCAGTGTCTCAACACCTTCATTGTGAAGAATTTCTTCCTTATATCAAATACTGTCACTTTTGGTTCACAACCAATACTGTTGTCTTGTAACAATAGGCCTTGGTAAAATGTCTCTCTCCATCTTTCTTGTAAGCCCCAATTATACATCAAAGGTCACAACAAGATCTTTTCTTTTCTGGGTGGAACAGCACAACTCTCTCAGCCTGTCTTCACAGGAGAGGCGCTCTAGCCCTCTGGTCATTTTTGTGGCCCTCCTCTGGACTGGCTCCAAGACATCCATGTCCCTTTTTTGCTTAGGGCACCAGAGCTGGATGCAGCACTGCAGGTGGGGTCTCACCAGAGCAGAGCAGGAATCACCTGCCTTGACCTGCTGACCACATTTTCTTTTGATGTATCACAGAGTATGGTTGGCTGTCTTTGACTGCAAGTATACACTGCCAGCTCATGTCTAAGTTTTTATCTACCAATATTCCCAAGTCCTTCTTCAGAGGGATGGTCTAAATCCATTCATCCACCAGTCTGTACAAATACCGGAGATTGCCCTGAGCCAGATGCAGAACCTTCACTTGGCCTAGCTGAGCTTCACAAGGGTATATGAGGACATTAAAATGGAGACTGTAAAAGAGTGATACATCACAGTTCAGAATTTCACGCTGGGCCCTTGAGTGGGTCAGATGCACACAGGGAAGAAGGGAATTTCTCCTGTCTCAGCTGAGGAGTAGCAAAGGACTAGAAATACAAAGTACTGCTCATAGCTTGCTCCAAAGTATTGCCTGGGTAGATCATGAAACTGTGCACACCACAGAGCAACCTACTCTATAAATATGCAATGCCAATAGGATAAAAAGAAAAGGCAGGCACTACTCAAAGTGTCTAAAAATTGCTGCACTCAGATTCATTTGATGCACTTTGAGATGATGATATACAGCAATAAAAGTCCAGAGAAAATCTCTACCATGTGATAAACTAGATTCTGAGTTTTTGACTTTGTAATGTGACTTTTAAGATGCATTAGTAGTAGTATATTCGATTTTTATATTCTTCCTAGATACATATGCAGGAAAAGATATCTTGCTTTCAATCGTTTAAGACTGGAATGCCTTATGCTCCTTCTTTAAAAAAGTATTAATATTCTTCTGAATATTAAAGCCGTTTTTGCAGATGACTGACAGTTTACCATTAATAAGAATTGGGGTTGGGTGTTTGTTGTTTTGTTTTTTTTTTTAATTAACCTATAGTTTTTTACTGCTCCTAGTAGTTCTAGCTACACACTGATTGCCTGGACAACTGTTACCAACTTTTCATCCCTTTTCACCGATTTACACTTACCATAACCAGGTTCAATGGAGTTTTCATTAACTGGGAATTAATACACAGTATCATAAAAAAGAAGGTGAACTTGGATTTCAAGAAAAAGACCAGTTTCTAAAAACTGCGTAACAGAATTTTTATTCTTAACTAGCAAATGAAGAATCCAGGAAACTTTGCAGCTACTTACACTGCTATACAAAAGCCTCCTCTAAAGCCTTCTTTAACTCTCAAGTCACTGGAACTGTCCAAATGTTTTCCAGTCAGGCCCTCAAAAAATCTTATATTAAAATTAATAATTAGTTGAAGTGCTGTGTACTCTACAGTTCAGGAAAACTTTCCAGACTGGTCTCCCAACACTGCTGAATACTGAAGAGTGATAATGCATCCAATTGCAGCAGGAAGCAAACATCTCCTGCTTTCAAGAAGTCATTTTCTATATAGCCAGCTTCTGTTAGTCATCAGTAGATACTGTATGCCTGCTTTAGATGTGAACAGCAATTTTTACAGAGGGGGAACCCTATAGTAATTGTCTTACAGTCACTTACCCTTAATTCATAACCATTTGAGATGGAATGTGATTTGCAGATCAATTCAGTAGCACAGAAGTCAAAATGTAATTCCTCTAATTCTAAAGTGCCAGAGAAAAGAGATTAACAACCTGATCCCTGGGCAGCTCCAACAGGTCTCTTCCAACTATCAGTAGCTAAAACTTATGCTGTCTTTTCTTATTAAACAGAGAAACTGGAAGTTTTAGCCAAATGATGTTCATGCATATAAAGTCAGGGTGTTGTTTCAGTGACAGTTTTTAAGGGAAAATGTGGCGCAGTGATGTAACATCCCTGCTTTGCATCCTTCATCCTGAATTCATGAATATGTACCAGCCATTAACTTTCTGAACTTCTAGAGGTAACAAAAAAAATGAAGTGTCACACTTCATTTCACAGAGTGTCATACATGGGGCAGAGATACCATTTTTTTAAGCGAGACCTGAAATAGCAGACTGAAGATTTTTCACCTAAAATACTCACGAATTCAAACATTCAATTCTAATGAGTCCCACTCAGAACCTTTTTCAAAGCACAGCTTGGAAATAAACATAAAAAATGTAATTGCACAGGTCACTCTGAGGCAATTCTAATCTGAAATTTCTACTGCAATCAGAAGTATTAAATACATTGAAAGAAGTAGCTGGAGGGAGAACAGGCTGTAGTTTTAGTCCTGTCTCTCTCATCAGGTTTCCTGTGAAAACCTAATACATAATTTGTATTAGAACTATTACAATGGAGTACTCACTACTATTTTTTCAGGTAAGAGACATAAATAAGTCTGAGTGCAGTTTGTGTGTTTTTAATGGGTTAAAT